CGATGGTGTAGCGGTCTAACGCGCTTATATTCTTTTATAAGCAAGTTTGTGTCACAAAAAGGAGTAGTTGTTTTTTTGAAGGGGAAACGGTCGTTGTATTTTATGTGATATTCTGGCTTTGAGCTAAATTCATTTTATTTCATTTTGCATCTATCACATTTGAGTTTTGATATTTTATTATCGTTTACAAATTGCCCGCTTGGTTTATTTGGTTCCACCTAGTTTTCAAACTGGGTACCATAGCGCATTTTGATTTTGCTTACTGAGAACAGATGGCGACACCATTTTCACTACTTGAATTTTATTCTCTCCGTAACCAACTCTATGGTATACTGGTGAAATGTGTAGCATTTGTTAATTCCATTAGAGACTGGAATTGAGAACCTATCTATTTCTTGCTGAGGAGTCCTAATAAGGACGAAACCGGTCCAAGAATGATGTTCTCCTTGGTGAGCAAAATCAAAGTAGAGAGTGTTGAAAATTAATTTCTATCTCTGCTGTTTTTCCTTCGGATGTAATTCAATACTTGTTGTGGTATTAGCCAAAGGAGTAGTTGTTTTTTTGAAGGGGAAACGGTCGTTGTATTTTATGTGATATTCTGGCTTTGAGCTAAATTAATTTTATTTCATATATTATTATGTTTAGCCTTGGCCTCACAGGTAATTTTAATCATTCTTAATATACAGATTTGTAGCATTATAAAATTTTTTTAAGATATTTTCATAGTGAATCTATTTTTACCAATATCTGTCATTACACGGAAAAATACTGTAGAACAAATTTCTACAATTGCAGATTTTTTTCTCTACAATAAATAGTACATATAGGGACAGGGACAATTTGTAGTAAAAATTTCCAAATATTTTTGGAGAATGTATTGTAGAGTTATTATCTACAATATTTAGTAAAAATATCCAAATGCATCATAAGAATTGTTCTACAAATTGTTATAATTTTTGCTATTCATCGTATGAATTTATATTAAAAATGTATTGCGTATTATGAAAATAAATACGAAAATTTTACACAATAAATAGTAAAAATTCATACAAATTGTAGTAATTTTTAATAAAACTTGTAGTAGTATTCCATAATTATTATAATTATAACCTAGAAAAAAATGTTCCTTAATAAAATATTCAATTTATTGTTTTAATATAAAAGATACAAAGTCTTAATTACATTATGTAATAAATAACAGTAATAATAGCACCCTCAGTCTCAGTTGGCTTTTCTGCACCTGAAAAATATGAAATAAAAATTAATACCAATTGAACTGTTCATACCCTTAAAACGGGAATATTTATCACCTTTACACTGATTTGGATATTAAATGACTAAGTCAGATAACTAACAAAAATGAGAAAGTAGGTATGTCACAATTAAGACAAAAAAACATTGAACTTGGCACAAAATTCGATCGTTGGGCACAACATTCGATCGTTGGCCATAATTATTTTTTTAAAATAATCTACTAAGGTTATTTAAATTATTCAGAAATAATAATAAATGTGCTTACCACCAATAGAATTTATTATTAAAATTTTCTCAAACGCATCGGTGCTTATAATATAATAATGTATTATAGGTACTCGTATATGTACCATGCTTTGTTATGTGAACATGGCGAACGGCTACTGCTGTCTGGCCGTTTATGATCGACGTCAGAAAACGTTGGCCAATAGCAGAATTCTGTTTTGTTCACATGACTTAGAATTTCTACAATATTGTAGAATATTTTTGAACAAAATTTAATTTTTCTTATAAGAAGGGATGTAAACTATTACTATTTTTTGTAAAGAAAATTACTATTTTTTTTAGAGATAATTATTAATATTTGTATAAATTTTTACAGAAGTTAGTAGTAGTAATTACGATAATTGTAATAAATTTCTAATTCTACAAACAATAGTTAAATGTACTAAACATTGTGGACTTCTTTCCTGTTGTTTGTAAGCATTTTATTCGACCATTCAATTGCTACAATAATTAATAGTTTTTACCTATAAATTGTAGTAAAATTTTCTACAAATTGTTAAGTATTTTTCTACAAGTCTACTACTACAACATTGTAGTAAAATTTTCTAGTCACATTTTTTTCCGTGTAAAATATAACATTTGACAACAAGCACCCCACGCTTTTCTACAATAAACGATTTTTTTTTTTCATACTATTATTATTTTAAATTTATTGAAAATTATTTTCTACTTTTTAGTTTGCTTTTCTAATAAAGCGTATTTTTAAAACTATTCTTTATTAACTTAGCTATTCTCGGACAACCTCCAAGTTATTGTCCTTCTTTTGCACTTTTCTCAGGCTTTCAAGGGTGATTTTTTCTTCATCATCTCCTGGCTTGATAGTGGTTACCCGAAGAGTAACTTTATCAACCGATTCCTCTCGTTCTTTGGTCCCTTTACTGTACCGGCTTTGTCGTTCTAAACATGGTCGCCTAAAGAGAATGTCTGCATTGCTATGGAGACTGTCTTTGATGCTCTACCTCCTGGTTATTGCTAGTAAGCCGACTAGGTGTGGGTGAACGGCTTCCCCGGGACGCATAGCTGCTGTAAATATTTCTGGTAGATTTTTTACGTTCCTGACTACAAACCTTTAGCTGGCTTTGGGATACCCGTTTTAAATGCTGCTGGCCATACCTTGTCTCCAAGATTTGGACAAGAGACTGATAACTGGGTACTTCTTGAGGGAGTAACTGTAAAACGGTTGCCGCCCGCCATTGGCTCTAGTTGCAGCTTCAAATTAAAGACGATATATTTCCTATATTGTCTAACCGTCAAACATATGTGGCTTAATGGTCTTGTTAGTATGATTTTGTGAAACTGGGATTTGGATATGGCTTGGTTCTGTTGCTTACCGAAGCTAGGCTACGAATTTTTTTTTCTGACTCAACTAGTTTGGTTTTAATTTGCCTTTCCAACTATACTTTAGCCGATCCTTGTTGTTTTAAATTAGTCTTTAAATTTTTTTGTTGTTGTGCTAAGAGATGTATTCGACTATTAATCTTACATACTTCTTATCTGAAGTTTTCTTGAATTTGTAGCAAGCCATTTATAATTTCATTTCTACCTCAGATTTTTTACGCCCCTCTTCGTTCTCTTTTTCTTTGTCGTTCCTGTGCCTTTTCTTTTTCTCCATCCTTCCTGCGCCTTTCCATTTCGTCTTCTTCTTCCTTCCTGCGTCTTTTAGACATGGGCTTTATGACGGAGGATCAACTGCAACAAATAAACTTAGCGTGTATCAGAAGTACTTATTACTATCGTAAACATGTTGAAGCTATCTTCACAGACTTTAAAGGTTTTTACAGTATTTGCCTTAAATTTCTTCTTAAGAAACTAGCAAAAATTACTTTTTTGGATAAATATCTTAATTAGTTCAACTCTTACCCAAGTTATCGATCTTAGCGGGCTAACATGCAAAATTTCGTATCTACTGAAGTGTCAGTGATGTCTTGTGTTTTACAGGGATCTCACATTGGCCTTGTTTTATTTTTAATTATGTTTAAATGACGCAACAGCTTGCTTTTTAAACAGTGACTGTCTGTTATTTGCAGACGGCCTTAAGTTTTTTAGAATAAAGACTGGTGACTACTAAGCTTTAAAATTGGACATCAATAAAAACGGTATAGCGACAGTCCGTTAAAAATCTTCTATTTAAGTTTCTGTTTACATACTAAAACATCTGCTGCGAAACAACAAATTAACTTCCTGGTACCTGGTACCAGATCGGCATCAAACAAACTATGGACAGAAAGCTTTTACTGAGCGGCTTTGCCAGATCTACGGTGAGCAAGTGAGCATCATAAGTCTTACCCCCCTAACTAACTCGTTACTGGAGTCTTGTTAGGAAAATCGCCGAGATAGGTCGATTTTTGATTTTTACTGTGCACATTTATGTATGATTAGTTTACCCTTAATTTCATCCCTTACTGGAGGGGAGCAACCCTTTCGAAAAATTTAAATAGCAAGGGGTGGTGAGTGATAGCTCATTTGAAAGATAATTTTATTATCTATTCAACCGTGCAAAAAATTTTGAAATTTGCGTCCTTACGTGATGATTTATTAATGTTTAAAAATAACAAAATATCACAAAATAGGAAAGCAACTAAACTAACAGTGACCTTCTAATAGCAAAAAGTCTTACTTCACGTCTGAACCAAAACCGATATCATGCAGGGCCGAATTTTAATTCTAAGGATGAGTGCGCTACGTTAATTTCCGTTATTCTGAAACAATAATTAGTTGAGAATTAACAAAGCAAATTTTAAAATTTTTTACACGGTTGAATAGAGAATAAAACCCTCTTTTAAATGAGCTATCCACCACCCCATGCTATTTAAATTTTTCGAAAGGGTTGCTCCCCCTCCAGTAAGGGACGAAATTAAGGGTAAACTATTCATATAAAAATGTACATTGTAGAAATCAAAAATCGACGTGTGTCGGCGATTTTCCTAACAAGACTCCAGTAACGAGTTAGATAGGGGGGGTAAGACTTATGGTGCTCACCGTATAATAAACCTTTATCAATATTAATTTGCATTTATTTTTCATTACAAATAAATAGTAAATAATTTATCCAATAAAATATATACAACTTATTTTAAATTAAATACAACAATATGTTCTATGCTTTATTTAGCAATATAAAAGTTTATTTTTATTATTCACAAAATTATAAAAAGGCTCTGTAGATCTCATAATATTTCATATATTACTTGGAACACCAACATTCCCACAGTAATTTCTAAAAGCTTGATTAGCGTTCGATTTTTGAAACCGCATCGAGTGTATGTCGCTTCGCCTGTAGTACTCAATCATTTACACTTAGATAACTATTTAAAAATAATTGGAGGATACGGATGACAGAGAAATATAAAATTTATATAAGTAAATAAATAAAAGTAAAAAATTACCCATGATAAATCTGTTTATAACTTCACGTTCAGGAGACAACATTATTAATATTTTTCGTAACAATAATCTTGCAGGTCAGAAGTATTCAAAGGCGATGGAGGCCCCTTCCCACACCCCCCACGAATATACTCTTTCAGCGGCAAGAACGTCATGACTGATTTCTCCTGGCCCATTAAAGCAGTATGGCATGGTGCTCTTTTAAACGGCGAGAGAGCATTGGATACATCCTGCGACGCCTGGCACACGTCATCAAAGGAAAAGGTCGGCCTTGCAGGTAGTCTGAAAGGACCTAGACTCTTAGAACAAACACCATACTCTTGCGACAAAAGACTTATACTGCTTTGCATCGAAGCAACGACGGAACAATTTTTGCAGAGGAGAAGAAGAGACATTCAAGAGAGGTAAATGGTAAAATCGAAATCTTAAATTTATTATGGCAAATTTTGAACATTTGTAAGACTGCGGCCCGTAGCCAGACTTTGAGGTACAGCCTGTAGTCCATTTTTTGAACAATTAGGATAACTTACTACTGTTTTATTTTTGTAGCCACAGCGATAGCAAAATATATTCCTTTTAGAAAAACATGTTGAATAAGTATGTCCAACTTTACCACAGTTATAACAAGAAACATTAGATAATCTACTTTTATTTAATTGACTATTGTTATTACGTTACTGGTTAGTATTAGTTGAAAAATTATTACTACCAAAAGCAGCAGTATTATTTACATTGAGATAAACTTTGAGCATCTTCTAGATTCTTACATAAACTATACAATTCATCAATATTCTTAGGATCTTGCAATGCTAACTGAGAAATAAAGGTAGGTTAATAATATTTACTCTTCTACATTCGTCTGGCAAGATAGGTAATCTTTTAAAAAGTTTTTCCGTATAAGAAATGTATAATTTTGTACTTTCAGAATTAAGTTGTTTTCTATTTTGAATCTCAAATTCTAAATTATGTTGATAGTCACAAGGTAAGAAATGTAATTTTAATTGTTCAACAAGGTGATCCCAGTCAGTGAATTTAGAACAATTATTTATATACCAAATGAGAACATCACCCTTTAAAAGATCACAGTTACGTTGAAACACTTGTTGTTTCGAAAGACCTCTAGACAATCTTAACATTTCGACATGTTCCAAAAAATCAAACAACGAATTGTTATCATCATAAAATACACCCCATTTATGAACATTTACACTTATATATGTTGGACAACTAACTTGTTCTGTAGGTACAGTACTAGGGTTAAAACCAGAAGAATTATTATTAATTTTTTCCGATAAATCAGCTTCTAACATGATTATTTTTGTTTTTATTGTGTTTTTAGCTGTAACTTCTTCATCAATCTAGAATTAATTCGTTTAAAAGCTGGATCAGATTTATTACCAGTAAAATTTTCTATTTCTGTATTGACTTCTTTAATTGACAATTCCATTTCTGTGATATCATCTTCATGATCATAAGGATTGTAGACGATGAAAAAATTAGATGGGCAATATCCAGCTTCTCTCCATTTAAGTCGCCAGGACCTGACGGTATCTATCCAGCCCTACTTCAGTGGGGTCTGGAAGAACTCACACCGCACCTGGTGGGTATATTCAGATCCTCGTTGGCTTTGAGGTATATCCCCAAAAAATGGAGAGAGGTAAAATTGGTATTTATACATAAACCTGGAGGGATGGATTACACTGTCCCAAAAACATACCGACCAATTAGTCTGACATCGTTTTCCATGAAGACATTGGAAAGACTATGCGAAAGGTACATAAGGGATGCGGTGATTACAACACCACTACTCCCAAACCAACATGCATACACCCCAGGCAGATCTACTGATTCAGCCCTTCATCTAGTTGCTGGCCGGATAAAAAGATCCCTGGATAATAAGGAGTCCGCCTTGGGTGTTTTCATAGACATAGAAGGTGCTTTTGATAAAACCACCTTCCCAAAGATAATACACTCACTAACCAACAGGAATGTTCCACAAATGGTTATTGGGTGGATACATAACATGCTCTCAAAGCGAGCAGTAAACATAAGTGTAGAAGATGTTAATATAAGAGGCTTGGTTCGAGGGGATGTCCACAGGGAGGGGTGCCATCACCTCTACTGTGGAATATGGTCCTCGGCAGCCTCATCAGCTGCCTCAATAATGACAGTCACTACACAATCGCATATGCAGATGACCTGGTCATTCTGAAAAGAGGGAATTTTGAGAACAGTGGTGCAAGGACCATTTACTGTCTATCAATCCTAAGAAGACAAAATGGTCCTTTTCACAAGGAAAAGGATGAAAATGGAATTCAAACCTCTAGAACTCCTAAACGCAAAACTAAGCTTTGCGACAAAGGTGAAGTACCTAGGTCTCACCTTTGACAGCAAGTTAACATGGAACTCGCATTTAGAAAACAGAGTTAAAAGAGCATACATTGCTTATGAACAATGCCGCCGTACTGTGGAACGCACCTGGGGTTTTTTCACAAGAGTCGTATCATGGACTTACACGGCTATCATAAGACCTATGCTAACATACGGTACAGTTGTTTGGGTACAGAAAACCCAAAAATTAACAACTATCCGTAAACTAGAACAAATTCAAAGAACATCATGTCTCAACATAACAGGATCCATGAAAACAATACCGACTAGAGCGATGGAAGTCATTCTTAGTCTCACTCCCCCTGATATTTACATCAAGGAGGTTGCTCTGACGACAATAACACGCCTCCGCATGGTCTGAATAGAACCTGATGTAGGATCTGGTGAGGCGAGACGTCACTTTTGGCAGGAGGCGCTCGATACGCTCCCACTGCTTCAAGCGAACATGGACTCCATCTCACCAATATATATCTTTCATAAGCCATATAAAGTTATAATAGAACAAATAAAAGAGCCAGAAGTGGCAGGTACGATTCATATCTACACGGACGGTTCTAAAACAAAACAAGGCTCAGGATGCGGAATATACTCCAAATTCTTAAACCTAAACATAAAATGAGCTGTGAGCAATAGTGCCAGTGTAGTTCAAACAGAGCTAACGGGGATTCTCATAGCAGCAAAAGAAATAACCAGAAATAATTTCACTGGAAGAATCAGATAGCAGACAAGCACTACTCACCCTGAACAGACCACGAATTTATTCAGGGTTAGTACTAGAATGTCATGAAGCTTTGGCCGAAGTATCCATCAACAATGTGGTCACCTTAAGATGGATCAAAAGTCACGCCACATCGAAAGGTTACCGTCTTACCGATTCACTAGCCAAGAAAGCAGCCAACCAAATACTTTTTGGACCTGGCCCTTCTATTGGCCTGACAAAATCGGTAGTGACAGACCTAATTAAAGAACATTCCCTTGTAAAATTCAAGTAAAGATGGAATAAAACAAGAAACTGCAGAGTTGCCAGGGAGCTCTTAAGTTATCCTGACGACACTGCAGCAAACAAATACTTGACTATGACCAGACAGAATTTGCATCTGGTCACAGGCATTCTGACTGGTCATTACCAAGTACGAAAGCATCTCCATATCATGGGGCTGTCAGAATCCGCACTCTGCAGAGGGTTGCGAACAAGAAGATGAGACCATCGAGCATATCCTTTACGATTGCCCGACGCTCTCATTTATTAGAAGATTTGTGTTTGGCGAGTATCGGCTGACACCGGCCGATATAAGAGAAGCACCTCTTGGGGACGTTGTCAACTACATTAAATATGTAGGCTGGCTGACGAGCTAGGAGGTGCCTATCATCTTAGCAGGATGCACAATGGGCCTAATGAGGCCTAAGAGCCGTGGGGGTAACCCACCCTCCACACGTTACAGATACAGATACAGAAGGATTGTTTTTCTCTGAAAACTTCTATGGTGTTAGTGTTAGTATCGTTAATCTCTTTGAAATACCTATGTGAATTAGAACGATAAGTTATAAGGAATCTATTTCAAAGTAACGAGCTATTTAACCCAGTAGTTGGGGCGCCATTTTTGTAACGTGATACTTGTTATTTCATCTATTTGTTATAGTGTTTTAAGCTCAATTGATTTTGGGAGTAAATCAGGTCATTAAATAACTCGTATTAAACTTCTTAGATACAGCTTGAACTAAACCATCTAGATATAGCCAGTCTAAAAGGAAAAGGTAAAAATATTAAGAAAGGAAATAGGAAATTTGCACAGGAACCAGATAAAATGCCTTTAACTAATAATTATACAATTTAAAACTATTAACAGAATAATTTCACAGATACTAAAATCAATATGAAAAGGAAAAATCCTATTTAACATATTCAACATAGTAAAGCATAATATCTCTTTCAAACAAAATAATATATAAAATTATATAAAACGTGTTATCCATGTGTTATTCATGTATTGAGGTTATGTTTAAAATTTTACATTTCATTTAAGAAATTCTTGTACAAAATATATATTTTCAACAATACAGGTTGTCCCGAAATTAGACGGTCATATTTTAACAGAGTAATCTACATCCTAAAATAGGAATAAAAGTTCATATAAACATAGGTCCGAAAACATTTCGTTTTCGAGATACAGGGTGTTACAAGTGAAGTTCTGATAACACATTTTTGTAAATATTTTCTAAAATTTCTTTAGTCACCGGTTTTCCAAAGTAAAAAAAATAAAATTTCTGATTTCACAGGCTTACTAATTATTGTTCACACTTTTGAATAACTTATTATGAAATTCACAAATGCTTTTTTCTTGAAAATGGTGCGTCCTAGCGAGATGCAACAAAAGTAACTTTATTTTAAAGAAAACATTGGTTTTCCAAATTTTATACTCAAAAATGTTAAAAACTGTCAACAAAAAAACTTTACTATAAGCCCCCCTAATTTACCCACCTATGAAGAGGATCAAAAACTAAGATTAAGTCCATTAAATAGAGCGTAAAAAGGTAAGCATTTGCACTAAATTTCACTTAGTTACCTTTAAAAGTTTGGAAAATATTTACAAAAGTGTGTCATCAGGACTTCACTTTTAACACCCTGTATCTCAGAAAAAAAAAACGTTTTTGGACATGGGTTTATATGAACTTTTATTTCTATTTTAGGATGTAGATTATGCTGTTAAAATTTGACCGTCTAATTTTGGGACACCCTGTATATCGGTATTAAAGCTTACCTTATAAAATCAGACGGCCAATAAGAATATTAGAAATCAATTAGTACATCGGATGACCAAGATATTTTAAAATTCAAATCAACTGATTCGTTGACAGATTCAAATGAAAATGAAATTGGAACTTTGACACCAAGGCATAAACGACAAATATTATTATTATTATTATTATTATTATTATTATTATTATTATTATTATTATTTATTATTATTATTATTATTATTATTATTATTATTATTATTATTATTATTATTAT